TCACCTAAAACCCAGAAATGGTTGAAAAGTATTCCAAACATTTACTTATAATTCTTTAAGAATATTAAAGTTTATTTCAGAACCTGTAAAAAGGCTTTTTTTTCTGTCCTTCTCAATTCTGTTTCCTCCTGTCTCTTTATTGAAGCCTCTTAATTATTAAAACAACAAGCTTTTTTTAATTCTTAAAAGTTCCACTTTTATTGTTTTGTCAATCCCCCCTCTAATTCTTAGCTTTCAATTATGCATGTTGACTTAAACATTTTAATTAGAACAGTTTGTCTGTTTCAATCATTACCTGGGTTTATCCTCTACAAAGAATGGCTGTATCATTAATCTTCATGTGCAAATCATTTTTTCTTATTAGTCTATCCTATGTATCTGTTCTCTAAATTTGATATTACAAAAGGCCTTGAAATTAGCTGAGCAAAATGTAAATTCCAAAAAGAGTAGAATTAGAGAAAAAAAATCCTTATAAGAGATGAAGTAGTAATGTGGGAAATCTGTGAATACTGATGGGAAAAACTGTGATCCTCATCATGTATCTCAATTTCTCTTATTGAAAACGAACAATTTCTATTGTTGAATTTTGTGTTTTTTCTTAATTTCTCTCCTACTGTACCTAATAAAGAGACTTAACACCTAAATGTTCAATTCTTATTTCCTAATCAATTTGATGATTTATTTAAGACCATCTAAGAAGGCAGGTGCTATTTAAATTTTCACTCCCTAGATATAGCTACTTCTATATGTTTTGTCCTTAAAACTCACGGTTATGTATTGTTTTATGAATTTCAAATAGTATGTAGGATAAAAGAAATCTGCGAAATTCAAATGGACAGTCACAACAGTCACAACATCTTACTCAATTGATGTATAAAATGACTCATGGAAATCAAAGTGCAAATATGTGTTCTGTAAGGAGTCACCTACATCATTACCTTGGCCAATCTGATGTCTTTCTCAGTCAAAAAGCACACAATACTACTTTAGCCTTGTTAGATTTCCAATGTTAATTCCATTACCAGTGTTATCTAAAAGATAGCAATATTTAGGAAATAAATATTTTATTTCCATATAGAGTCTTATACTTCCATATAAAGTCCTATAAAGAAGTATTAACAGAAGTATTAATGTGTTTTCTTATGTATAAAAATGTTGTCCTTAGTCCTTTTCTATTATTTTACTCTTTTTCTATGAATTTCTGCCCCTGAGATTTGTCATGTTCTTATCAGAACTCCATTTATTTAGGTTGAGAATATTTTAATAAAGAATATTAGAAACTACAGTATATCATTATATAAGGTTCTCAAAAGTCTTCCTGAAGAGTCTCTTTAACTAATATGTTACTTTGGCCAAGAGAATAAAATAAAACCATTTTCTTTTATCTAATTTTAATTTCAGCAAATTCCAAGCAATATCTTTACCAAGATCATTATTTAGGTGGATGGCTTACTCTCATTTGCTCATTTATTTATGTGCTGTTCTTTGAACATTTCTGTAAATTATACTAAATTTGCTTGTGTATATATGTACAGCAAAAAATATGGATGCAGATTTTAAAATAATCTATTGCATAGTAAGAAAGGTGATAGGAATCAAGTTTTTATCTGCACTACAATAGTCTGCAGACTTCACTACTTTCAACCATCAACTTTATCTCTGAATTGCATTTTGCCCTAATTGATTTATACATCAGTTGTCTTTTTATTATGATCTTTAGGAGAGCAGGCATCATTCATTTACAAACATTTGCTGAGTGTCTGACAGGTAATGGGGATACAAAGATGAGCAAAGAGGGATTCTGCACTCAAGTTTGACAGATGCACATGTAAATAAATAGCTGTGATAAAGCCAAATGTACTAACTGTTCGGGAGCAACCAGTACAAAACAACTAATTTCCTACAGTGAGATTTAGGAATGGAGATGCAAGTTAAAAATGACTGTAAAGCAAAGAATACAATAGTATGTAGTGTGAAAGGATTGATGAAAATTTGCCAATAAACTTGAAGATTTTAGAACTAGGAAAAAAGCTAACATATACCAAGGACTTATATAAAATTAAATGTATATAATGATTTGCCTGGCTAAAGTTAAAGATTTTCTAATTAGAAGACTGAAATAATCAGGTTTATGTATTAGAAAAATACATCTGATTGTAAGGTAAATAGGAAGAATGCCAGATGAGACAGGTCCCAGTGAGCAAGCTATTGCTTTATGCTAGAGACATGGTAGTTTAAAGGGTTGGAGTATAGACAAAAAGAAGTAGTTTTAGGAAATAGGGAAGAATTAGAATTGATGAACTAAAAACAAATTGGAGGAAGAGAATGTAGTTAAGACATCTTTAAGAATTTTGATTTAAGCTTATCAGGAAATCAGTGCTAGCATACATGAAACATGTGGTATATGACGAGAAGTTTAAAAAATGGAATGGTAGGCCAGGGATTTAGCTCAGTGGTTCCAGCGCCTGCCTCACAAGCACAAGGATCAGAGTTTGATCCCCGATACCAAAAAAAGAAAAAAAAACAACGGAATGGTATACAGTTTTTAGTGTCAAAACATTGAATTTTAAGGTATTTTGGAAATATACATGTTCAACTATCCAAAAGTTCATGTGATCAGGAATTACCTGTGGGCTGGAGATGAGAATATGAGATTCAACATAGTAAATGGTGGTGGTTGATGGTTTGTGAGTGGAAGAGGTGAAGGGAATTAGAAAAGAAAAATAAGGATGAAATCTCAGGGAACCACAATAAAGGTATTTATTGGAGAAGTAGAGAAGGAAGAACTACTCAGAAGAATGAAGCATTGTCAGAGAAAAAGGAACAAATCACTAAATAACTTAAAAAATCAAACAAAAACACTTGGGAAAAGTAGATAAATGAAGCATTTTAAGAGTGTCTATGGTGAAGTAGGTTAAATGTCATTGAGGTAGCTAATAAAACATATAAGCTCTCTATCATATTGGCGTCTGGTGTTGATATATTTGTTTAGGCCGAAATTAGAGAAATGAGACTTGGATTATTTCTTGTTTGTGACTGTTGGTGAGAGCAACTAGTGGCAATCATCCCAAATTAAAATAGAATGTAGCATTCTATCACAAAATAATATCAGCTATCTCTACATGGCCATGCTGCACATTCTTACACATATATGTGGCAAATGCCCTTTTGAACTAATGAGTACTGTAGGATCTGAGAATATAGCCAAAAAATATGAAGAGACTGTAGTTATAGATTAAGAACATAGTCGTATATTGTAGAAGATACTATCCTAAAAAGAAAAATAAATATATACATTTAATATTATGTATTATTATGATATATGAATATAATATACTATACAAAATAGATATATGAATATAATAAATGTATGTATATATATCATCTATAAGACATGATTTTGCAGCTAGACTGTCATTTATATGTCAATTACAATTGTAAAAACATTTTATTTGATTTTATGTGAAGTTTGAGTCCTCTGAATCACTGAAATCTTTAAATTCCAAATTGGCTAGGGTTTCATTGAAAATTATTAAGAGGTAATATGATGGTGTCATAATAAGAAAAGTTAAACTCAAAGTCAAATTGCAGAAGAGTAAAAAATGTAAGCTCGAAACAAGGATATAAAATACATAACTATTTTAATAAACATAAGCAGTAAAAGTAAAAGGGAACACAAAATGAGCACAAACAAATTGTGTTAAAACATTGGATGAAAGAATCAATCTTAGGCAGGAAGTGGTAAACTTCCTCTTTCCTGAGAGAGAGAGAGAGAGAGAGAGAGAGGGAGGTATGCAGCATGTATGTCTAAACTGGGGTTATAAGCAATGAATGAGCACTATTTTAAACTTTTTTTAGTCATCCATTAAATAGATAAAAACAAAGGAAATAGTTGAATTATCTTGATTGAGCAGAGGTGGCAGAAAAACAAGAAAGTAAAGAACTTGAGGGCCCTGAGGAGAAAAATTAACAATAGGTTTTAGACTAAAAGAAAGCTTGCCAAGGAAATTTGCATCTTGACAAGATCGAAAGGGACATGTGGTATAAATTAGAATGTAGTGGGTTATTGTCAGTTTTGTTAGTTTCAAATCTCTAATTCTCACATCCTGACCTAGATAGATGCAAGAAATCCACAAGAATAACATTAGAAGTTCTGTAGTTGTTTCATTGGCTAGCATAATGTTTGTCTCAAATCTCTATGTAGTGTTTTATCCCTGTGAATTGGTCAAGATGAATTTAAATATTTACATCCTTTTTTGTCCTTTTGGCTTAAGACTTTGCCTGGACTCAACGCTGAGTTGTGTTTGACTCATATTTTCTCTTCGGTCTCGCCTTGGTTTCTGCTTGGTCTTTACAGGTTATATGTTAAAAAAAAAAAAATCATGACAGAAAAAGAGAGCAACACTAAGAAAAAAGAAGTTGAACTCCCTTTGCTCCTCTACCTCAAAATGTTGTGCTTGATACAATAAAATCATTTGTATCTGTGACAGCTACATTTTGTGTGGACTCCCTTGAAAGCCTTGGTAGGCTTCTAGGATAGATCCAGGTTCCTAAGAGGTACAGCTGAAGGTGGGAGGAAAATGTTATTAAAGTCAGGTGGGGAGTTATTTGAAAGGAAAGAGTGTTTGTATATGAATGTATATATGCGTATGTGAGTAAAGGGTGGACGTTTAAACCTTTCAGGGGACTCTGATAAACATCTGTTTTTCTTCTGCTTGGAAATTATCCTCCTGCTGACAAGTGAGAATCATGGGCATGATATTGGGGTTTAGAATCTAGTACATGGGATGGTTCTGGTAAGTCTAGAATGTGGGCTACCAGAGTGGAATGGAAATGAAAATTACTGGAGGAATTCACTTTCACAGGAAAGTGAAGCTGAAGGGCTATGTATGTTCACTCTAGGATGGCTGAGGCTTTAGATTTTTGCTTTATCACCTGCAGCACTTTACCCAGCACCAAGTATAAAGTGTGTGTTCAATAAATACTCTTAATAGACCGTGTACATTTCAGAAAAATGTGTTACTTTTAATATTAATTATGTGAGCGTGCAACATTGCTAAATACAAAAGTCATACAAGCTCACAAATGACTTCAGAGACTGCCACTCTTAACTAAAGAACAATTTAGGGCTTATTAAGACATCATAAATTATAGATATTTCCTGTTTTCACTTAATGACTATACAGTTTGTCTTTAATATTACAGGTTTCACTCAGAAGCATTCCCACCTATTAGTTGCATTTCTTTACCCATTATTGTCTCTCTGAGGAGACAAAGAAATATTGTTTGTCTTTTAAAATGGCTCAGTCCCACAATGTCTGAGTGAGACTCAGGTATAAGACATTATAGTAGGCTTCTCTGGAGAGTATCATATCACCTAGAAATTACAGCCTGTGATTCTATTATTGATTGGAAAAACATTTCTTTGAACTTAAGGTAAATATATATTGCCATGGGATACATGACAGAAAGTAAATTTGACAAGTTCACATGTTGCAAATGACTCAAAAACTGAAATTACAGTTTTAGGTAATTAAGCAAAAGGAGTAGCGAAGAACATAAGCAGTCTGAACCATGCTAAGTTAACAGACCACTGCATCTTCTGGGAAGCATACTTTCCAAAATAAATTATAATTTTTTTTAAAGTACAGTTTCTAGGATTTAGGTATGTGTTTGTCATACTCATACAGGTAACCTTAAGAAAAAGCAATGTCTTCTTAAGACTCAGTTTCCTTCTCTGAAATGTGGAGGCTAAGTCCATCACTAGAAATTATCTTCCAGGTAAACATTCTTTGTAACTGGCTTTAATTTTATAGCATGTGCTATGGAAAGCTTCTTGAAGACAGGCAAATATGATTCCAATATCAATTTCATCAATTAGATTTTCATGTTTGGAAAAATTATTCCCTTTTGAGTACTAATTTTCTAATATGTTAAATCAGATAAATCACTCTAATTGAATTGTTTGGGGATGAAATGTGAGAACATGAGCTGCAAAGTGATTACTATCGGGATAGTTTGTTAGGAGACATCCACTACCGATTGTCAAATCATTGCCTTACTTTCCTATCCTTTCCTTCTCTCCTTAAAATTCAGCTCAGTATTATTTTGCAAAAAAGGACATCAAAGTAAAATATGAAAAATATTATACACTTTTGCTAAGCAAACTTTATAGAATGTGGATGTTTTTTGGAAAGACAATTTTTATCTTCTCAGCTTGGGATGCCACTGAGTTTTAGTATTCCAGACAAAGTAGCATTAAGAGGTCAAACTAAAAAGCCCCGTATAACTTCACAATTTACCACTAATTATATATTCAAAGACAAACTTGGCACTACATGCATTAATAATAGTGTATCATACCTGAATATAAACCTTCCACATATACTCAGCACTGGTTCTAAACTTTACAAAATTACATGAAATCAGTTTGGAATTCCACAATTTTAAGGAAGAAGAAACTTTAGATTCACAAGAAAGCTATCAAGATAGTAAATGAACACAAGGCAAGCCAATTTTGCAGGATGGATGTTTGAAACAGACTAAAAGAGATTGCCTAAAATCATCTCAGGAACTTGTCTTCGTATTTGAGAATCTATTAATAGGTAGATTTGTTTAAATTTTTTACGGGCATTTTGCCCCCCCTCACAGGTTAGATAAAAAATATTTAAAATTTAATCAATTTTCTTTCTGTTCTTAGAAAGACTCACATTGTTACCTTTTTTATAGGGGTGGGGAAGGTAACATCTGATTAAGAACCAAATCAGACTCATACCCTTAACCCAGACAGTGAAAAGTACTGGAAAGGGAGAAGTGACCAGACTTACCTTTCATCCTGTCTGTAACTATAGAGAAAAGCTGAGTTCCTGGAATAACCACTGAGATTACCTGTTGAAATGCTGATCTACCTACATCACCTGGAACTGTTTCTAAACCCTCAAGGACAGCTAAATGGGCTCTTTATTGCAAAGAGGTTTCCTGTTATATGTTATTTGTCCAGTAATTCATAAACCACTTGTATATTCCTGGTTCCTTATTTATTACCACTGACAAATAATTTCATAATACTGACCAGAGGGATTACACAGCTCACAGGAAGTTTCCACAAAAGAATCATGATGTTAAAACACAGCATAAGTCATCAATAGTATTAGTGAAAATTTTGTTAGCTTCTAATGGTGATAATTACAATGCAGTTCACACTAATTATAGTAAAAGTTTACAAACATTAAAAAGTGCATAATAACATTTGGATCAGATAGGGCTGAAAAAAGACATGAAAAACACGACACGAGGGCTTTACTTTAGTGATTGGTACCCACATGATTGCAAGATCACTTTTTCCATCCTTCTCAGCCTGGTGGAGGCAAATTTTTCTCCAAATTTAAATAGTGGCATACAGCATTGTGGGAAATCTGATTCTACAGAACAAAATATTTCCAGTTCTCAGGATTATGTTGGCTTCTCTTATCTATCTTTTCAATTCCCCCAAAGTTTCATAATTAACAATATTAGATGGGAGAAATTTGCTACTTGGGCCTAAAAGAAAATTGACAGATTAAATTCCACTCTGTACAGACACCAAACAGACAGAATTCAAGTGATATTCACATTAATGGATATTTTCAAATGTCTGTATAATAAAGCAAAGGAATCTTGATGAATCTATTAGATTTAATTCATCAATATACAATGATCAAGAGGAAAGATTACATTGTAAAAAATGTGTTCTGTTCCGTGCACACCACCACACCATGAAAAACAAAACAGGCAGCCCTTTAAAAAATGAGTGGTATAAAAATTCACAGTAATATGCATCATTTTTGTTTTCAATAAGCAATCAAAGAAGGGGGCAGTGCTGAGCGTCTATACTGTACAATACAAAACAGTAAATAACACAGCAGTAACACACGGATACATAATGCTAAAAACAGTGCTTTCTGGATGATTCTTTTACTGGGTAAATACTTAAGCCAGAGCTATTTAAACTCTGGGGTTCAACCAACTGTTTGCAATTAGACACAATTAAATCCTCTGACATTATGAGGGGCCAGATGCTACAGGAATCATCATCTAGGTCAGAGCTACTCTCTACAAGCATTTCATCACATGGTCAAGTGAAAGGATCCATACAAAAATGACATCCAAACACAAGCCACATGATTTCAACCATTGCTAATGATGGAGGTAGAGAAAAGTCTGTCTGCAGCCACAGCCTCTGCCCCCATTTTCAATATGATAACAAGCAGGTTCCTGTGATGCAGCACAGCCATTTTCTTTTCCCCCTTTTTGCTCATGGAAGCACATTCATTCCAGCAACGCCTGGAGATTCGCCATGTTGTCAGGTGTTGTTGAAGGTCAAAGTGGGGGGTTAGCTTTCAGATTTTGCTGCTTCTCCCTGGGCTTCCCCACTTTGTTCTGTCGAATTCCTCTGTGCATCATCTTCGCCTTCTGCTAGGGAAAATTAAAAAAAAGGATACAGGTAAAATAAAAAAGCTTATATTTGGCAGTTCTCAGTATATCATATCAGAAACTCCCAACTTTCTCAAAAAGTCTAAAATCTTCATAGAGACAAGTATATTTTCTTGGTAGTCAGTTCACCAGGAAAAATAAAAGTTTTTCAAAGCTTGGCATATTCTGTGAAAATAAGACAGTGTGACTCAAAAACTAAATAACATCTGAATTTTCAGGGTGTGAAATGATCAGCTAAGCTTTTGATACTTAGCTAGGAAATCTCATGGCCAAGTCATGGCATTTAAATAGTTTTACAGGTTGCAGAAATCAGTAGTCTCTTGAAGCAGAAACCAAAGGTAGGAGCATGTTTGCCTTTTGATATCTTATTTAAAGAAATATTTTAAAACTATGCTTTCTCTTCTTTCTAGCACTTGAGGATAACCCCGTTGATTTCTTAAAGATTTTATTAGTTCAAATTGAAAGTAATAGTAGAACAGTGGACACGATGTTAGTCACTCTCTTATCCAGTAGTTATAGTGGCTTCTGGTCTTAGAGAGCATATATACAATTTCAATTAAACCACCTTTAGAAGTGCACCCACAGCAGCAGTCTTCCCAGTGACAGCAAGCACTCAATTTGAGCAATGTTTTTATGCCACATTAGGTCACTTTATATGAGTACGAGCTGTAGGCAATTCTTGACTCAAAGATTAAAATGTTTACATGAGTCAATTGATTCCTGAGCAACCTGTGTTTGCTTTGGCAGCACATATACTAAAATTGATTCCCGAGCAACCAATATGGCTTGGTAGACAAAATATTTTGGAATGTTGCAGTAACATAAATTATGTCCATATTTACAAGCAGTTTGTTATAATAATTCAGTGCATCAAGATAAGTAGACTGGCCCTTTCTTTGCACTGCAATGTTGTGAGACAACTTACCCTTTACTCTTAGAATATACACACAGAACATATAACCATATTCTAATGATAATAAGACTTTATGGAAATTTACTTAGTGTTTCTATGTAAAAATCATATTCTATTCTAAAGCAGATATGACCAGGTGTTATATGTCATTTTCTTACATTATTTGTATTATTTGGCTAATGAACAGGCTCCTAAAATGTACAAATGACACAAATCTGAGATATGCATGAAGTAGGAGCATGGTAAATAGGAGAGTCTCTTGGAAACCAAAGGAATGAAGTCAAAATAGGGCAGATGTAAGTTACTGAATGCTTAAAGATGAAAACGACTGCATAAATACAAGATGAAGAACTTGACTTCCATGGGCTTGAACTTTCTAGGTGTGTGGGGATGCTTTTAGGGTTTTGCATTTTGCTGTACACAAAGCTGTGTTTAAATTGATGCCTCTTAACAAATTAAGGTAACATAGGGCAGCAATGTTGTTGAGTATAAACTAAAACACAGTGGAAACAGGAATTACAAAGAAAGTTTCTTACAATTCTTGGAGATGTTATGTTTGGCATCATACATTTGTCTTTTCTATATTTTAGATTTTCATATCTTATGATTATTATTTGTAGTTCTTTGTACTTCAAACAATAAGTCAAGTCAATCCTTTTATAGTTTGCCTACTTTAGGATTTTATGATTTGAAAAATGGAAAATTTTACAAGTGCCTAAAGAATTGCAATTAACATGCAGAAATGACTAAAAAGGAAGATATTTGGAAGCTAGGCATGGTGGCAAAGGCCTATAATATCAGCACTATGGGAGACTGAGGCAGAAGGATCAAAAGTTTGAACCCTGGCTGATAACTTGTTATTTAGCAAGATCCTATCTCAAAATAAAAAATAAAAAAAGGGCTGGGGTTGTAGCTCAATGCAAAGACCCAGAGTTCTACCTCCTGTATTGAAAGAAAGGAAAAAAAGATATTTGGAAGCATGAAAGTATCTGAGTTATTTTAAATTATGTAATTATAATATACTTAATATAAAATATCAGTTTGTTTTAGTTATATTTATTAACATAATTCCTCAAGTTATTAGCAATAATTTAATGTTCTTTTGTATAAGAAACATTGAGGCTAACAATTCTCAATTTCCAGGGAAACAGAAATAGTGAAATTCAATTATACGATTAATAAAATATTCTAATATTAAGGGTGGCTAAAATTGATGCAGATTGCTTAAAAAAGCATACTTGTAATAAAAATAAAAATATAAATCATATAAAAGAAATTAGCACATTCTCAGACACACAAAAAAATGTGTTTACTCATTCCATGATATGAAACTGGAATAATTTTCTTATTTCCTAAAAAGGCTCTGGGAAGAAAATATTGGTAGTAATAGCAGAGAAACAATGAAACCTAAAATACAAATAGGTCTATATATTCCAAAGTGTTGATATTAGTTTTATTATTAATCTAAAATTGAAAAGACCAATCTGTGACCTACTGAATTTTAGCCATTGAATAAAATTCTGTCCTTTAGTATTTTAAGTAATGTCACTGAACTATTTAATGCATATATAATCTCAGTTTCCCCATAAGCCGAAGGCTTTGTTAGAGAAATTCTAATAGGACATAGTAAATGTTATGAGATGAGTTAGAAACTGATCTTTTCATGTACACAGTACTATAGTTCTTTAATTGTGAAGTCTTTTTACTTTTAAAGGTTGTTTTTGCACAAGTGTTTTAAAATAAACATATTAAGCTTTGATATTTGCAAAAGCTACAATAGAGCAACTATCAGGAGACTTATTCTAATACTTAGGAGTAAGGCTATCAGATATTTAAATGTATTAAATTTGCTTTTCTTTTTCATTAATAAAGTCAAACTTTACATAAAAATTTAAGGTTCAGTAATACACATTCATAAACTCATTTAATCATGAAAGGACAACCAAGAAACCCTTTTACCTAAGCATTTCCAGCAACTCTTTTATTGTCATTCTCAATCAAATTGGTCCTGATAACCTTTTTTTTTCTGAAATGATCTTAAAACTGAAGTCCCTCAGATTTCACTTGTTAATTGTTATAAATATCCATTAAATGTTAGTGGTAGATAATATTATCACCAACTTTGTTATATGTTCTACATAGGCAATTTCAGAGCTTTTACAGAGATTAAAAATTTTTTAAAACACCAGGTATTTTATTGATTGTATTAGTAAAATCAAATTAAAGACTCTGCTTTTGAGTGGGAAACTGTGTAGGTGGAAATCATTGAAAACAGAGGAGGAATGATTAAGAAACTAATTGTAGACTTTCATTTTGCCCAAAATAACTATTAAATTACTTTCATAGGTATTTATTGTGCCTTAATCCTATTTAGCAAAATGCTGCAAATCATGTCACGTTTGTAGAAATGTGTCTAAGGTGACTCACCTGTCTTGTTGATATCAAGACCAGCTAATTTCAGGGCTAATTCATTGCTGTTACCACTTGCAGAGGAAACCAGGATATCATGTATTGCATTTCTTCTACCTGTTCTTCCTGAAGCAATAAAATCTGCATATGTAGTTTCCACATCAGTCATTGCTAACAAATATCCACATAGCAGGGACTACAAAACAAAGAAAAATCAGTAGGTAAATATAATGGTAGTAGGTGGTAGACATTTAACAAAGGCACTAAACTACTGGTTCACAATATGAATGTAAAGTAACTATCTTGTTTGCATATTCACAAAACAAGTAGTGCTTTGATTCTTAAGTATTTAGAACAAAAGTCAGGAAATTCTAGTGTGCAGGAATTAATAGTAAATTTTAGGTTTTGAGAATAATGATCTCTATTCTACCTACTCAACTTTGTTCTTAAATTGCAAAAGCACCCATTAGCAGTAAATTAAACAGATGTAATAAACAAGCTTTATTTTTAATACAGCAGAAGGCCAAATTTAGCCTGCATGTCATAGTTTCTTGACACCTGATTTAGATAATAAAACTGTTTCTCCAATGCTGTTTCAGTCAGTCTTCAACTCCAGAAAGAAGAATTTGAGATCAGGTGAGGGACAGGGTAGAAGAGGATCAATAGAAAGGCAAGTAGTAAGCAAATGTACTATTCATAGATTCTAAAAATGTTAAGGAAATTGACAAAAATATAGTTAGTTTTTTATTATCACCATGTACCAGCAATTACAAGCACTGCCAGTGTTGAAATACTGCTTCAGTCCAGGACAACTCCTCTGCCCTCCTTGGAAAGTTAGTGCTTGAGAAGAATAACCCTCTTTACTGAATGTTTAAAATACAATTTTTGAATTTGTAGAGTCAAAAATGAGCTTTCCCTAAGAAATTTGATGACACATGTAATTGAAAACTGCTATAGTTTGGATACTGAATGCCCCCAAAGGCCCCAAAATTGAAGGCTCAGTCTTCAGCCTTTGACCTAATGGGAGATAGTGGAAGCTTTAGAAAGCTGGGCATAGTGAAAAGCAGTTAGGATATTAGGATCCTGGACTCTCTTCTTCCTCTCTCTTTTACACCTTGGTTGCCATGAGGTGAGCAGCCTCTTCCACAATGTGCTCATGCCGTGATTTACTGCCTTCCCATAGGCCCAAAACCAATGCAGCCAAATGATCATGGACTGAAACCTCTGAAACCATGAGACAAAGCAAAACTCTTCTGATAAATTATTTCTCAGGCATTTGTCAGAGTGAAGTGCCTGGAATTTTGGTTCTGGTCCTTGCTCTACCAATAGGTCATGGAGTGAACTGAAGAAAGTTACTCGCTTTAGTTTCACTTTTAAGAAAAGGTATAAAAAGAATTAACACTCAAAAGGATCTACTTTCTAAACCCTGAATTTAGAAATACTCTCCTCTGGCCATAACCCTCACAGACCTCTCTTTTTTCCCCTTTTACTGATCCTATCTTTAATACCTTTAACACTTTGTTTTAGTCTCCTCTAGATCCAGTGCTATGTGATTCAGTTGCTTACTAGTTCATATAATTTCTTATTGACATCGAGAAAAGAAAAAAATTTCTTTTGAGGGTTAGGAATTGGCACAGTGGTAATATGTTTGCCTAACATATATGAGTTCCTAGGTTCCATCCCTAGTGCCACAAAACACACACACACACACACACACACACAAACACACACAATCCCTTGATCTACTGTCATAATTACTTGCCTTCCGATGCCTCACCACTGGGAAAACACTACTGTGCACTTTCTCTGATTTCATTACCAAGTGTCTCACTGTTACCAGAAAAAGTTGCAAAATTGTGCCAACTGGCTCAGCTAGAAATTTTTAACTATTATTAGTATATACTAATAATAAATTGTGCATAAATTCATTTGTTCACCTCTAACTGACTCTCCCTTATGTTTTCTTCTGTGGGAAGGATTGCCAGTTCTGTCCAGTCCGCACACTGGACACCACCTGCCTTAAGGGATGACGCTGCATCTTTCCCCTCTGAGAAGATATAGAACTCTGCTCTTAGTTCTCTTAAAGTTTTTCCTTTCACAAACATTTCTCTGTATTTTTTTCTTTGCTGGATGAATTGGTGTCTGCCTTTTAAAAACATGTTATGGATTTTATTTCCTTTCATCTTTAATGCCATCATCCACTACCCATTAACATGGCATAGCATCTTGAAGTATATTTTTATTTATCTCTTTCCTTTGATATTCTTGTGTGATTACTTGGCAGGTAATGTTATTTTTTCTCAACTTTTATTTTCTATTAGTAAATATGTACAGTATATTAGATCACATTCCTCGTAGAGAGTTGGTAAATGTATATAACATGTCTTAGTTCTTTTTTCATCCCCTCCCCCTCTCCCTTTATCTCTTGGTCCCCTTCTCTTTTACAAAATTATATCACCCCATTTCCTATTACCTATCTTTTATTTTGCTCTTTATTTATATTTTGTATTTCTCATATCAGAGAAAGTATGCAATGTTTAAGGTTGTGTGCCTGATTTATTTCACTTAATTTTATAGTCTTGAGATGCATCCATTTTCCTACAAATGACTTCTTGGTTTTTATTTTATGTCTCTCATATTTATTTTCTGTAAAACATAGGAATGTCTTACTATAGGACTATAATAAGCACTTCCATTTCCTACGTTTTTCCATGTTACAGTCTATCCAAAATGCTACTAGCAGTCACCTTTGGACATTTCTCAAGAACCTCTTAACCCTAACACACAGCCTATAGAACACATTCTAAGCATTTTAGCATTTCTAGGATCTGATGAGGAACCACTTTTGTGTTTAACTCCAGCTATTGCTCTTACATTGCAGAATAATACACACTATTTTTTTCCAGTTTCTCTTCTGATGCCTTTGCTAAAGTCTGTTACTTTACCTGAAATGACTTTCCATAACAAACTTGCATAATTAAGTGTATTTAACCCTTAAAATGCAACTAAAAGAGCTATGCTCTCTTTTACTACATTTCTCTATCTCGTCAGCTAGTGCTGTATGGGTCTGATTTTTGTCTGAACAGGAGGGTCCTTACATTCTATCTAGCAATCTGTCTCCTTCTAGACAGATTGCAGGCTCTGGGAAGACAGGAACTGTGTTTTCTTAGTATTTTAATCACATTCAATTCCTAGCAGAATCACTTCCAAATAGTCAGTGATAATAAATGTATGCTACATAGAAATGATGACTGAGAAAGAAACATATAGATCATCTTTCATCAGTAGCAACAGAGAACACCCTTGCTTCTGGATTATACTAAATTTTCAAATCTTAAAAATATTATCTGTTTCAATTTAGAAGTTTTTACATTCAAAGATTCTGAGGAACAGATAGTTCAAGTCACCTGCTCATCTTCACATAGTTAATTAAGTGCCTGGAACTCAGGTCTACAAAGTTTCAGCCTTTTCTATCTATTTTTTGGGATGCTTGTGAAGAGTTTGGGGTAATTTCTGACTGTGGAGTAATTCAGTGCTACTAGGTGCAAAGATATTTGCATTATCTACACAAATACTGTCCAACTCAGTATTTAGTTTCTATGTTATATGAAAGATTTAGTATACACATCACTTGGGGGAAATATACTATATAAATGTTTGAGGGGAAATGAAGTCAGAAGAATAAGTTCTTTTCAAAATCATTTTCACTGTAAGTCTCTTTTTATGGATTTTCAAAGCATATGCTTAAAAGTCACAATTACTGTTTTTTACCATCTGGTAACAACAATATTATGAATTAGAAAAAAATATTCTCACTTTTGAGATAAAGAAAATACACACCAGAGATTTTTTTTTTTTTGAGACAGGGTCTCACTATGCAGTTCAGGCTGTCCTTGAACTCACTATATAGCCCAGGGTGGCCTCCACGGTGACACTCCTGCCTCAACCACCCAAGTGCTGGGATTATAGGCCTGTGCCACCACACCTAGCCCATATCAGAGATTTTAAGCAGCCACCAAATCATACACAGAACCATGACTTAAATGCAGAATTTTTTTTGCAATAAAGTTGCTTGTTTTTTGCCATTGTTATTTTTTCTATGCAGACTACCATTATAATACATGTACATGTGCAGGTTTTATCTAATTCACTTTAATGATAATGATTTTAAGGAGACTTGAAATATCAAGAATGAAGCAGAGAAAAGTGATTATACTACATGAGAAGATATGAATTAAAAGGTGTACTGTTTATGATTTATATATTTGGAGATGGAGATGTTAAAAGATTCTGATGTTAATTCTACTTTTATGAGGGGAGTCAAAAATTTACTTTGAAATTTCATTTCGTGCACTTCTAAGTAATGAGCACATGCAAGGAGAAACAGGATTATGAAAGATAAAAATGAATATTGTGCTTGCCTTTAAAATGATCACATGTGACTTTCATTTGGATGGAGTAAAAGGCAGTATGAATAACTGTAAAATCTTATTCCTGAAAATTTCCACTCCTCTTAAGCTTTTTTGAAATATATTTTTTAGATTAATGAGTACTCAATTCTGCACCTTTAAAGTCACTAGAAACTGAGCTGTAGGCATATAATTACAGTAGCCATTAGAATGATAATAATAACAGCTATTATTTTTAAAAGTAGTATTTCATTTTTATTGTTTTCTTTCTCCAGACAATATATTTCTTTCTGATCAAAGAACAGCAGTTAACAAATAGTGCATACAAAATACTTAAGTGACAGAGGGTATACAATTAGATTTTTCAACAAATTATATAGATGCTATGTATTGTATACATTTCTCTCTTTATTATTGCTCTTTTAGTTAATTCCTAATAGGTGCTCAGAAATGATTCCTTTTACATGCATGGTGGCTGTGTTTCTTGTTTTTTTTAAATTTTTAAGCCAGGCATTTAGACACAGGTCTATTTTGTAATCCAACTAAAGATCCAGAAATATCTTTTATACCAAATGTATCACTGTACAGATGACTTGTACTCTTGCTTTGAAATTCTAGAGGACTGTCACTAAAAATTAGGTCTAACATTTTCACCCACAAAAAAGAATTCCAAAAAAGTCAAATAATTGTCAGCAGCATCTGATAGAAGCTCAACAAAGCGGCAAACAGCCTATATTCTGACTTTATAGAAGTAGAAAAAAGAATCCCTGGAAAATTTATGAAAATT